TAATGGCTTTCACAGTGGCTGTCTAGGCACACACTCAGATTGAGACTTAATTAATCCAATTTCATCTCTCAAATCCAAGCGTAATGGCCTGGAACAAAGCATGTCATGAAAAATATATATGACTTCAGCTTGCAGATCACTGTATACTTAAAAAACGTTAAATAAAACATCATATAAAAACATAATAAATCCAGATCGTTGAAAAGGAATAACCTCCCTGCGGTTATTTCTATACTTTTTTCTGTTTCAAGATATAGATGTGGCTATCGTTTCGACTCACCAGATGATGTCATTAGGGGCCGGGGCGTAAGAAACACCCCACTGATGGGACCGCACCACTGTGGTAATGCTGGACTGCTGGGGTCTGTGGCGGCACCGAACTCGGCCGTAGTCTTTCACAATACTACAGAAACATAAGCACAGAGTTTAAAAGAGGTGCATGTATTTCAGCAATAAGGTATGTGAGAAGGTTGCGAATATATAGTGTGAATATAGACTAGACTACTGAATTACTATAATGTGGTTTTTAACAAACTGTACTGACCGATCAAAAGTCAGGACCAGAATGAACTGTTATAAACTTATATATAAAGCTTATATATAAAGCTATATAGTTTATTATGTTATATGGTATAAAGGCTGTTATTGGATGCAAAGGTTTGGTAAAAAGGAGTTTAAAATACAACATTTCCTTGAATTAAAGCTTTGGTTTATCATATTTGTACAGTATGTGCATTGATCAGTATTTATATATACTTGGATTAAACCACTCATTTCAAATGGATTCATTTTATGATATCTTCATGAACTTTTTGAAGTGTGAAAATTTTGGTGGACTGGACATTCAATGAAGGGACAGAAATCCCTAATTTTTAGACGTTTTGAAGATGAACAATAATCTTATGGGTTTGGAACGCCATGAGGGTGAGTTTTTATCCACAAAACTTACACTGTTTTGGTAAAATAATTAACATTTTGCAAATTCTGAAAGGGGGATGTAAACTTTTGACCTCAACTGTAACTCTCAGCAAATGTGCTTCATGTTAATACATTACCTTTTTATTAAAAATACTTTCATATTCTTAAATGTAGGTACTCATTCCTATGCTTACAGTATCTCTGGACGAATGATACTTATTCTCAGTAATCACCTCAATAATCAGCTATTTATCCATGTGACTTACACGGCAGTCATTCTCTCATCTCTGAAGGTAACAAAGGCAATGCCCAGCCTCTTCATAGAGATACGGTTCTTCTCTGCATTAAACTCATCTGTCAGTTTCTCCTCCAGTTCACTGTAATACTGCTCCGCATCCACCTGACAAAAAGACAATGATATAAAACAGAGCAGTTCATGACTGACAGTTGGTGTACAGTGGTCTCCAGTGGCCAACATGAGGAGGTGCAGTACCAGCCACACGGCCATTCTATAGGTATACAATTTGTGCACACAAATATATCCATTCTGACAACTATAATGATTGTGTGAGGGACATTTACCTGTTCAAAGCCACATATATCACAGCAGAAGATCTGTGCACAGGGGTGAGACTTTATCATGATCCTGCCTTCCTTCTGAGCTTTGGTTGTGAAGTACAGCCTTCCTTTCATTGCTTTTCGCCTGATATATAGTTTTAATATGGTTTAATTATTTAATTATGCATTATTTTTGAGACTCAGCTCTATGGCATGCAGGAGATATGCAAACGCAAATGACCTTTCTGAGTCCAGCTTCATTAGTTTTTGTACATCAAAGCAGAACCGGATGTCTGTGACGGTGCAGCTAGGGTAGGCTTCACTGTTTGGAGATAGAAGAGACATTGGCTTTTAAATAAGTGAAAAATGAATGCCCTCAGTTGTGTTGACATTTAATATCTGATATGCCGAAGTATGGAGATCAAGCACTAGTTGTAATCTGTGGATAACAGATCTGTGCTCTTTACTCACTGCAGGTGTTTGGTGATCAGTCCGGGATCAGAGATTTCTCTGGGAACTGAAGTTATCATTAGAGTTCTGGCCACCTGCAGTAATAATAAATCAAAGTTGTTGTTTGTTTTTTTCTGAGTGGTGAACACTACACATTTAAAAAAAATAAAGGTTCTTTCTTTGCATATATGGTTCCATGAAGAACCTTTAAAATCCAGGGAAACTTTTAAGTGCACAAAAGATTCTTTATTGTTGAAAAAAGGTTTTAAAAAGTATTTCACACTAAGAAAAAAAGTGTTTTTAATGCAAAAGAGTGAAAAATTTAAGGGGGTCTGAATACTTTCCGTACCCACTGTATATATATACTAAATATATCCCATACTTTACTATATATATAAGTAATTATACATCATATTATGGCAGTATATTTAATTTTAATTGAGATTTAAAATAAAATAACATAATAAACAAAACAAAACAAAACAAAATAAAATAAAATAAAATACTCATTGTCCAGACTGTCACAAAGCAAGGCCAGACACAACAGGTAAGTGCAAATCAGGATGGTTTATTGACTGGGTAAGGGGATGACTGGAATAGGTGAGTAAAAGGCAGGTGAGTGTAAACACAGTGAATGGTTCCAGGGTGCTTATCTGAGTTCTGATGGTGAGGATCGGATGCCGGTTACGTTGGAGATCGTGGAACAGTTTCCAAGGAGTCGTTGGAGGATCGCGGGAGGAACAGCAGGTAATTCGTTCTAGGAGAATTTGGCAGAGAGAGTCCAGAGCAGTTCGTAGGAGTGAACGGTAGACCGGACAGTGAGTGACTGTGCTGTGTGTGTATTTGTAGTGTGGCTTGATTGGTGACAGCAGGTGCGGGGGATCAGAACTCAGGTGACTGTGATCGGGTAATTATCCTGGATGGTGACTGAAGTGACTGTGATGAATCCCTGACACAGACAGGCTGATTTCCATTATTGTATTACCTTATAAAGAATCTAATGAGAATCACTAAGAATAATGAGAATTGCAAACAAACAAACATTAAACATCTGAATGCATTGATGAAATAAGAAATATGCTTAACTGTAATGAAAGCACATCACAATCTCCCCAAAAATCTAATGGCTTTATATATTTATATAAAAATAAAATTGAATTCTAAATTATATGTAAATATAAAAAATAAAGCATATTGTAAACCTGAACATTTTTCATGAGATGCACTCAGTCAGCTTGCAAGCACTGTTGAAAAGCAGTGCCACTTATGGACCAGAAATGAGGTGTAATAACCCATGAACATGAATACAGCTCACCAACCTTCTCATCTTCTCTGTATTCCAGTCGTGAGGAATGATGGGCCATGCACAGTACTGTGATCACAAAATACAGCAGAGCAAAGATGCTGTGCAGCCACAGAAATGCATTCCTAATGCACAAAGAAAAGAGAGTTATTAAAATCGTGCCAACAACTTCATAAATATGTACATACTCAACAAGGTTATGCTTTTCAGGTCTACATTCATCATAAAAAACAAACTTACTGTGCAGGAACATTAACCACTGTTGTTCGGCCGAAATTCTGTGGGCTATCTCCTGAAAAGCATAGAAAGAAACAACTTGTGTAACATTTAATGCACTTCTCACATACCAGTGTCAAAAATAAAAGTCTGAAAGTAATTTGAGGCCTGTGTGGTACAGTGCAAACTGAATGTGGAATAAAAAAAAACCTCTCTACACCCTAATCATTACGCTTTGGGTTTGGCTGCCATGACAAATTTGTGAATGTGCCAGTTTATTTCACAAATACAGTGTCAAATGGTTGCATAGAGATGACAGTAAGCGTCAAAACCCCCACCCTGTTTTAACCAGCCGGCCCCGAAACTGCACCACAAACTGGTCTACCACACATCCACATTGAACGCTTTTAGAGAGCCACAGTAAACTTCTGCCACCAAGGTTGTATGAAAGTCATATGAAAAGCTTATTGCAGGTTTGAAAACAACAAGAGGTAAAGCCGGTGGCTTTTCACAATGCTCTTCTTGTGGCGTGGACAGTCAAGGCCATTCCCATATTTAACTTGGCCCGTCTAACCCTCCATTGTGCAACCCAACCATCTCCAAACACTGTAGGGTGGTCTGAATTATGTTTTTCCACATGTCCACTAATGGAGGGTTAAGACTGAGCGCTTCTACATCTTCAAGAGTTTTCCCAGGCTTTTCCTAGAGTCATTCATCGACAGGCCCACACGGAATCTGCATCCTCAAAACCATACACAAATGTTACACATTCTCCCAGCTTTGTGCCTTATTGTAGAACTCTCAGCAACATTTAATGCATTTTAGCATGTTAAAATACATTCTGCAGATTTCTCCAATTCCCTCCAAGTCAATACAGAAAATGCACATTGCCATCAAAAGTTTGGGGTGGGTCAGACTTGTTGTTTTTGTCTCTTATGTTGACCAAAAACACAATAAAAACATATACTGATATAATGAAGTATCATTAGGATTTAAAATAACTGTTTTCTATTTTAAACTTACATTTTAAAATGTAATTTATTCCTGTGATGGCAAAGCTGAATTTTCAGCATCATTAGCCCAGTCTCCAGTGTCACATGATCTGTCAGAAATCATTGTAATATGCTGATTTGGTGCTCAAGACAGGTTTCTTCTTAGTATTAAAGTTGAAAACAGTTATATTTTTTTCTGGACAACAGGCTTCAGGATTCTTTGAGGAACAGAAAGTTCAAAAGAACAGCATTTATTCAAAATACAGTAGACGTCTTACTGACCTCAAACCTTTGAACAGTAGTGCATTTATGGAAAAAAAACTCTGCACAAGCTGACTTACTGTCACTTTAAAAAAAAAAAAATAATAATTTAATTATGGCCTAATATTATACAATTTATGGAGAAAGTGAGGAGGAAAATTATTTATTGGGAGATTGTCACATACTGTGGATCATTATGTTTGTCGCACATGCACTAACCAGTAAGCCACGGTTGACACAAAAGATTTTTGGGATAACAAAACATCTCACTCACTGATATATTTAAGGATAAGTGTGTTAATTAAGGTTCATTTCTATATCAGTAGCAGCAAACAAAAATAATTAGTTTTCGTGTCTGTAATTATTCAGCCAAACAGGTAGTTCCACCCCAAACTCACACCACTGCTGAGCAAAAAGATGCTGGACTGCTCAAACAAAAAGAACAATGCATATGTTCGGAATAGCATGCTACCTACTATTCTACTACATAAACTGTACACAATATACTAGGTTTGCCAACAAGTATAAAGTATAGAACATTTCCAGTGTTATGAATGAGCTAAAATGCAACCATATCTGCCTTGAATTTTTTTTTTCAAATGTTAAGATATTTTTGCACAAAACTGTATTTAAAATAACGATTTAGATAACAGATGTACCCCTCTTGCTGAATTAAACATTTCACATAATAAAATAATGTGACAAAGATTATTTAAAGTCTTAAAAAGTCTTAAAGATTTTAAGAAAGTATTTAATTTTTACATTTTATTTTCCTTTTAGAATGTGCTTTAGATAAATTTCAGAGTATGCCATCCATGCATTTTTAGCATTTCAAGAGAGTCATTTCTATCTAAGAGTGAAACTCTAATACTCTAACAATCTGTCAAAACTAATTAATGAGATTATTCTAATAAGTCTTTTTTAGGTGCAAGCACACTGATGAATTAAGATGTAGTGTTGATGTAATGTTGTTTTAAAGTTTAATGCCTTTTCCTGGATACCAAACGTGTTGTGTCTGTTGTCATGAATCCTTTATGGCTGAGCATTACTAGAGCAAACAGTAACCAAGCAGTTATGGATCTAGTGGAGGTACCTAGGAGGTTTCCAGAGAGGTTGACAGGCAAGATGATGGTGAGCGACAGCAAACACACCACCGTCATGAGCAGAATAATATGACGCTGGAAAGACAGGTATGTGATCGCGTCAATGCCACATTTACTGCGGATCTCTTCATCCCTATGGGAAGAAAAAAAGTCTTTATTAAGTAAATATTTGCAATTGCATTTTTTTTTTCATTTGGCAGACACTTTTATCCAAACCAGTATCAGTATACAGGTCAACAACTTAATGCACATTTTTAAAATCTTATCCATTTGCTTATACAAAAATACAAACAACATGCAATTCAAACATACAAATCATTTAAAAAAATCATTTTTAACCTTCAAATGTCCTAATATTGCAATGAAGATAAAAGCCAAGCAATTAAGAAAGAAAGAAAGAAAGAAAGAAAGAAAGAAAGAAAGAAAGAAAGAAAGAAAGAAAGAAATCATTCGTTTTTTGATTTAATATTGAAAGTAGAAAAATGAGAAAACGGCTCCTTTTTCGTTTTTTTGTTTTTTTTTCCAAGAAACGAAAAACAAAAATTCAGCTTAAATTTTTTTTTTTCGTTCATGGGTGGACAAATGAATAAACAGCTTGAACATTCGATTTCTACACATGGGCGGGAATTAAACGCCCCTTTCTGCTGAAACGCAGCCCTGAAGAAGGCACGGTTTGATCTTCGGCTGACCAATCAGCAGAAAGGGGCATTTAATTCCCACCCACATGTAGAAATCGAAAATTTAAGCTGAATTCTCGTTTTTAATTTTTTGGAAAAAAAAACAAAAAAACGAAAAAGGAGCCATTTTCTAATTTTTCTACTTTCAATATTAAATCAAAAAACGAATGATCGAATGATACACGGATTTGGCATCTTCTGTTATTGTGGTTCAACCAACATGCAGAAACAAACGAAAACTGAACCAAAACAAAACAAAACAAAGCAAAACAAAACAAAACAAAACAAAAC